TACAGAAAAAAATTTGTTTCGCTTTTTTGGCATGGTTAGATAGAGCTCATCGAGTTGCATCGGAAAAACATCCAATTTCGACAATTAAAAATGTTTCACCCAGAAAGGATTTTTCGATTTTCAAGGTCCTTTGAGTTTTTTCGCTTTTTCGACATAAAAAAACTAGTTCTGAAAAATTAGAAGTTACATATTTTGAATCAGCGTAAAATTCTCTATCGAATGATGTATAATAAAGCCGAAAACAAAATTTTCCTGTAAGTTCGAATTGTCGGCACCTTCACAAAAAAAAACAAGTTCTATTATAAAAATAATTAGTATCGAAAAAGCATTTTCTTTTCCGCTTTTGCTGGAAAACGTACACATAATTGGCATCTAGTATCAAATTTTGAACAGAAAATAAGCCTCACTAGCATTTAATGGTGAGCTGAGATTTCTTCACTAAACAACCAACTTGAAACCGTGCGAAGTGTAATCCAGCTAAAAAGTATCTGTTTAAGTTGAACCTTTACTTTTCCTCTCGTAAGCTTACTTGATACAAATTTAACATCTGTGTAAAACGTTTTTTCTAAAAAGTTTATAAATGCCATCAATGTTGATGACAAATATAAGGTGACGAATTTAAAAGCGCCGAGAGAGGACAATCTTTAATTCATGTGATTCAGGTGATTGTACGAAATGTTCATGGCTGAATACGAAGCCATTTATGTTTTAAAACATCTAGCAGATTCTAGAGACGAACAATCAAACTTACGTGTCGTACGAAATATAAAACGGAATAAAAATAGTTGAAATTTCATTTACCTATTCTCTTTCTGTTTGTTGAAAAGAGCAATATCATCGGTTATTCTGTGAATAATTTCTTTATCTAAACCAACTAGCCCAGTATATTCACCAATTAAAACGCATCAAAAATATCTTTGAACCTGCGCTGTATTTTGAAATAGTTTCAGAAAACTGCATATATTAATCTTCACTCATTTCATTTTTATAAGTGGCTGAATCATATTCAGCATATCAAATTCGTCTGCCCTGAAGTTTTTTTGTTTCTGGTGAAAACTGTTCAAAACCGGACGTTTTGTTTATAACGACTTTCTGGATTTTTTAGTTTCTTAACTTGGATATTACGTTTCTAGATAGATAGCATGTTTTGTAATAATCTTTTATTAGAGTGTAGTTTAAACGTTAACAGTTCAAACCATTTAATATTCTTCGCTAATGTTCTAAAGACCGATATTCAGTAAATCATGAGCAATTTCGTGATGTACCTAACGACTTGAATGCTCTTGTGATCGTTCCTGTTACTCTAGAACACATACTTTTTCTAAAACCTATACCTTCTTTAAATGTAACAGAGATGAATGAGTTATATAAGATTGTAATAAGTTTTATTAGCGACAAACAAAGATTTTAAATTTGAGTTTCCCTCCTTAGTCCACTTTTTCTTTGTCATTATTACCATTGTTTTCTCTTTTCTCTCTCTTTACTTCTTTTGTTGTCTCTACTCTGTTTTTTTTTGTTGTCATTGTGTATCGTTCTTATCATGTATCGTCCTGTCTTCTGTCCTCAGCCAGTATGTAATGGGTTCGCCTTTGGGTTCGACTTTTTTGTGTTTGCTACAACTCGGTCAGTTTTGATCCGATCGATCCAACCTTTTTTAAAAAGATGCACTACGAAATACTCTACAAAATCATACCTAAACTATAATTTCAGAACTTCGATCAAGAAAACTAAGCCAATTAGATAAAGTTGAAAAAATGTAAACTTTCTAAACTCAAAATTTTTCGACTTGAACTTTTTCTTCTGCTACTATATTCGCAAAAAAGTGTGGCAAAAGGGAGAACTCAGTTCGTGTTTGATACTTTCAAATGTGCTCTTTCTCATAGTCTGTAAAAAAGCTTTTTTAGAGCAGATGGTGTGCTCGCGAACGAAGTTACAAAAATACATCAAACGTTGACAACCTTCCCGTTTCCAACAATGTGCTCGATCAAGAAACGGAAAAGGCGACTGAATTTTGACAAAGCAAACCGCCACCGAAAAAGCTTTTATTTTGATGGAGTTATGAGACTTTTACTGAAAGCACTACTATACCCAAAATTTAAAAAATTAATGAAAAAATGCATGACAACCGATGCTGTGGCTTTTGATGTGAAAATATCTGAAGCGTAGCTAAAAGATACAGCGAAGTCAGGGCTACAGAATGCTAATTCAGTTTTTCTTACCTTCAAAACGTTAACACAAGAAATAATTTTGAGTTTAAAAAGTTTACATTTTTTTCAACTTTCATCTAATTGGCTTAGTTTTCTGGATTGAAGTTCTGAAATTATACTTTAGGTATGATTTTGTAGAGTATTTCGCAGTGCAGCTTTTAAAAATATACTGATACTTTTTTATCTTGTTTGCTTTATTTAGTAGAAAAATACTTTGAACTACATTTACGAAAAATACAGGTGTTTATATTACATATCATTGCAGATCCGAGGAATTCTACTAAAAATGTTAAATTAAAAAGAATGACTACTACTTTACACTATTTACCAGTAAAATATCGCTTTAGCAGGTAACAATTGAGCGAACTATAGCAGAAGTACGATGCAGTTTTGAGAATCTGATCATAATTCTCCAAGACACCGTACGGTGTATATATGTAATACATAAACGCGCATGATGCATCCATCCATTTTTGGTTTTTTTCTTTCGCACATGCAAGGACATAATAAAGTCGAAACATTTTCTTTCCTCCTCAAAAAAATAGAAGAATCAGAATAAATAACACTATGAGAAGAGACATAACTTTGAACTCTATCAAATTGTATCCTTGATTTATCTAGCGTTTGAATGATATTCTTCTCCGCCAATAAGATAGTGTGACTATGAAGAACCGGAGAAAATTATGATTAATATGCCAGGGAGAAAAAGCAAATTCGGGGGTATTCTAAGTATTGGAAATATTTGCAAACACCAGAGAATACCTGAAATTCCATGAGAATACCCCTGAATACGTTAGAAAAAACGTTTACGGAACTTGATCCTTCGGTGAAAAACAGATTATTCAAGCTCTAGCGTCCACTGTTCGCAGCTTGAAATTTTGCCACAATATGTAACTTTTCTCGCTCTTTCCGATGCCAATGTCAAAAGAAACAGAAAAGTTGTAGAACAGGTCTCTAGAAAACCTTTTAAACATTCTCAAGGGCATTGAGCAAACTAAATTCACCATCATGATCAGCATATTTTATTACCTATTTAGATAACTGTCTGATGAATTTTGAGGCCATTGTCTCGCTTCGAAATATAATTTACGAAAAATTAGCTGTTTTCTGCATTAAAAGTTATATTATTTTTCGTGACCTGCAGCATACCTCAAAATTCATCAGACAGTTATCTAAATAGGCAATAAGATATGCTGATCATGATGGCGAATTTAGTTTGCTCCATGCCCTTGAGAATGTTTAAAGGGTTTTCTAGAGACCTGTTCTACAACTTATCTGTTTCTTTTGACATTGGCATCAGAAGGAGCAAGAAAAGTTACATATTGTGGCAAAATTTCAAACTGCGCTAGAGCTTGAAAAATCTGTTTTACACCGAAGGATCAAGTTCCGTAAACTTATTTTCCTGAGTCTTCTTTTCACTTTGAGAAGCTTGAAGGCGATATTCGTGATCAGAATAATTGATTCTATATGACTAGACGATTCTAACGTATTCAGGGGTATTCTCATGGAATTTCAGGTATTCTCTGATATTCCCAAATATTTCCAATACTTAGAATACCCCCGAATCCATCTTCTTTCCCTTGTATAAAGCTCAAAGGTTTAGTTCATAACTTTAAATATAACATGTCTGATGTTCTAATTCAAAATGGCTATATTTGATCATTATGATTAATCTCACGCCACAAATATATCGTCTTATTTTGAAGTGATCGGAAAATGAAAGTTTGAAAGTTGGAGGAATGAACTTCTCGAGTTAGTGAGTTCGATTTATTTTCTCTAAAATTTGTAACAGACTCAAATAAGCTTTTTGTTGCATTATCATCAGCTTCGTGGGAGAGATTTCCGAGTTTCTGCCACACACAAAAAGTTCTGTTCAATCAGTGCGATAAATAGTGTTGATTGTCAACATTCTTTGTGCTTCTTCTCTTTCTTCATTAAATTCCTCATAATAACTGTCCAGTAAAGTCAATTCCTCCGTTCGTTTCGTTCTGTTTATCATCCTTAACAGTCGTCGACTAATATCTTTCATTTCTATATTATTATGATGAAAAACATCATTATTTCGATGAAATGGATAAATATTTTTATAGATCCGAAATGCTTCTCCGTAATTATCTAAAGGTGCATCATAATTATTCATTTGTTCGTATACCTGGCCAATAGAACGATACAAATGAGCACGTGTCAACGAACGCGATTTTATTGTTGACGATACCATTACATTCGAATAGATGGGCAACGCTTTCATTTATCCAAATTCTAAAGCTAAATCGTACTTTTTTAAAGCCAAATATAAATCAGCCGTAATCATATAACTCTCCGCCAAAGCTAAATGTTGATTCTGTGATGTCAAGTTTTGCTCTCGTATCAATGTTGATTCACTAATTTTTTCCAATGCTTTATCATAGTTTTCCATTTTCTTATAAACAAGACCTAAATTCTGAAGTGTATCACAGATACGAGCAGTATCACCAACACATCTGTTGTTATATTGAATTGACAGACATTTTTCCAAATATTCAATTGCTAATTGATAAGCATCAACTTCACAGTAAGCCAAGGCTAAATTAGTCAGCGGCTGTGCTAACCAAACAGTGTCACTACCAAAGAAAGTTTTAATTATTTGTATTCCTCCACGTAAGAGATATGTCGATAAATTGTATTTAACTTGTTCTTGTTTAGCTACATTTGAAGTTTTATCCATACCAAATCCGTTCATTTCCGACAACAGTGGTTCAAGATCAGCAAGACTCGTTTGATCACTTAATTCTTCTCTACGATAGCGATATAATTCTTTCAAATGATGTTGATCTTCATTGACTAACTGAAGTTTCAAGACCCAAATGCCACCTTGTCTTGCCATACTCTCAACACGAAATATTGCACCCAACATAAATAACACTTCCTTTTCATCACCATTTCCTATCTGACTTAGATGTGAAATTGATGCATAGGGTTTTGTTAATTCAGCAATATCTGGGTTAATTCCAATATCGATTAAGGTTGACGTTATGTTTTCGCCAGCAAACACTTCTGCTACTGATCTGTCTTTACTGGTCGATAGGAACGAATTAAAGGAGATGTACTGATCATGAGCATCTTGTAATTGTTCTAATTCAGCAATTGAAAACATTTGTCCACGATAAACATGAAAGGCTTCTGAACCTGTTGCCTTTCACTGACGTTCGTGTTCATGTTTCAATTGTTTGTACAGATCTAGAACAAAGATTTCAGCTAAGAAATTTGCTGGATAAAATTAGGTAATTAGTTACGCTTAATGTAGAATCGAAATTTAATTAAAGTTTGTAAATCTGTTCTTCGCAGTGCTTCATTCAACTGAGCAAATAAACATCCCGGACGTGTATACCATTGTATACTTTCAGCAGCTTGATACTTCTTTCTAAATTCGTCAATAAACTGAAGTTGTAGAATGTTATTATCAGCACAGGTTTGACAAAGATAATCAATTAGTTCATCATTATTATTTTATTCTTCCTGTTTTAATCGAAGGAGAATTTCGATAAACAGTTGTTGCCAGACAAATGTGACATTCTCTAATTTTAAATTTTTATGCGATTGTTGTTGGGATTGATCAGCATTGCTAAAAAATTTGATTCTACCAAGTGGTTGACAATAACGATAAGCTTTTTGAATTTGATAAATTAAATCGTTTTCATGGACGATAGCATTCTTCACCTAAACGTAAATTAATTATGATTCAGATATATTCAGATAAAGATGTCTGCCGCCTCAAAATTACTTTTTTAAAATTTTTTATCCACAGTAGATGAAATTCTTCATTTGAACCGTAGACATATATAGCTAATACTCGTCGTAGATCATGGACACGTGATACTAATTGTACTGCGCGACTATCTGATACAATTAAGACAATGATTTCTTCAACTGACAATCGAATTGTTCCTTCACAATCTTCCAGATTTTCAAATACTCTAAAGTTATTGTTGTTAACAATGTTTTTTAACCTATTTTGGAGCGGTTCAGCATCATTGGCGTTGGTATCAAGCCAGTAGAGTGAATAAGAAGCTGCGGCTGCTGTTGTGTTTTCTTCACTAGTTGAGGAACTGTCCATTCGTTCTAGTTGTTCAGCAGTGGGAGTCAACGAACGACACCATTGCAACGATTTTTTTTGACAACGATTTGAAAACATTGCAAACGATGTTTTAAAAAAACGAAATATTTGATATCAGAAACAGAATATTGTGCTTGCTTTTTTCTCTCTCTCACTGATAAGAAAACGCGTGTTATTCTATTTTTTTATTATTCGTTCCTTATCCAGTATTTCGAATGAGAAAAAACAGCACAATATCCAAGACACGTTGCTATTTGTCTACAAAAAGTACTTGTGTCTGAAGTGTGACAAATAATTTTATTCAAAACCATCTTTGGGTTTCGCATCTGTACCTGTCAACCAAACTATAAAAGATTCTGTACTGACACTTCTCGTTTGAGCGAGAAGAAATTCAAAAAAGAAGAAACAAACGAAAGCGAGAGAGCGAGAATGGAACCAAGAGTTTTTTCTTTGTCAAATCCTAAGGTAAGGTGATACAGCCACGCTGTTTGGATACGGAAGGCGGCACGCTATCTTGCATAGTCCAACCGATGTGATTGACAGCAAATGAACAGATAGTCTCATCATCTACGACTTCGAGTAGTGTAATGGCCTCGTCAAAGTGGACAAACGATCACCTCTTGGGTGCCGCAACTTGGCAATGGACGACAGTGGATTTCTCTACATCTGTGACCGCGAACAGCGTAAAATGAGATGGGTGAGCCGAGTGGGACAGGAGTGGCAGGCTGCAATGGACAAGATCGTTGTTTTGATCAGCTCAGTTGCCCTCTCCAGGTATTCATCGATCGGTATCATTCAGTTGACGTATTCGACCAGGACAATCATTGTATGGTGAAATGGATGAAAGTCGCGCAAGGAGGGATAATTGTGGCCGGTGGTCCAGATCGGGAAACTACTCTGTCTCAGTTATCGGGAATCCACGGAGTGGTCGCCGATCAGCCTGACACTGTCTGTGTAGCGCACGAGTCGAATAATGGTTTTGACTAAAGGCGCAACACGAGAAAATAGTATTCTTTGTGGAAACGGTTTAGTAAGAGGAGTGCACTATCTCAATGTTCGATTCACGCGGAAATCTCAATGTTACCGATCATAACAATCATCGAGTACAGAAATTCTTGATTGATCGAAAGTCGTAGTGTTCTTAGTTTGTTATCGATCGATGATGACTTTGTGTTGTTTTAGTGTTAGGCTTTTGATATGTCGATCGATCAAGTGCATAAAAGAGTTCTTTGAAGTTTGACAATAATCGACCAAAGTTCAATTTGAATCAAGCGAGGGGTTGGCAAAATCTTGTCGGGATCATTTCTAGCAGGGCATACGAGGTCAAAGACAAGTAAATGCCAACATATACAAGGAAGAAAACTGAGTTCCAGTGGCAGAAGTCATTGGAAATAAACATCACCAATAAATCACTTTTCCCTCTTGCTGATTCTTCAATTATATTTGCGTATCCAAACCGTTTGGATACGCCCTTGGAGAAAGCGGCTTTCTCGAACATTAATATATGTTCCGCTCGATGTTCATTTCCAGCGGTTGCGACGATCAAGAATGACTGTTAACCAGGTGACGCCAAAAATGTCAGAATCTCTGTCTGAATATTGTGTGACAAAATCAGTCATCGGACTAAAAAGTAATGCCAAGTGTTTTACAAAATGATGAGGTGGGAGAGCATGTTTGAGAATGAAACAAAGAAACAGAGAGGTGCGAGAGGTCTAAATTCTCACAGAACAAGTAATTCGATTCTTGTTGGACTTTTATCAGAGTGCGACATAAATCTAAGAGACCTGTCGCAATTTGTCTCATCCAGGCGTGATCACTTTGTCTGAATCTTGGAAAAGTGTTTGCCGACTACTTCCGACAGAATTCATCAGAATTATAAGTGTCCGATAAAATCTAACCGAGATAGTTGCAATGCTTGTACTACACTGGATCGATAAAACTACGCCCGGTGAGACTGATTTGATCCGAGCCGAGGTAACATCCGCTATTGTACGAAAACAATGGCAGAATAGTTACAACGTGGATAAACCAAACCGAAGCGACCATCCACCTGCCCTGTCTAAAGAGATTGAAAGGTGATGGTCGCTTTCACTCTGAAGTTGTCTTGACAAGCAGACTTCTTCGATCTTTAGATCAAAACTATTCTGTTGCCTTGCCGTGTGTGCTAGATTTCACGACAATATGTCTGACTGACGCGCTGAGGTACGAACGATGATTGGCGTTACATGGTCGTAAAATTGCGGCATATGAAAATTTGACGGTTATTTTCTAGAAATGTATACCTCGAGACTTTTACATATTTGGAATCAGCGTGGCGAGTTATGTTGTACGGCGCAAAGATTTCGTCGGGGTATTTCCAATTTTTGGGTCCTTTGAACTCCACTAAGATTTTCATGGTATATTACACTATATTCAACTGCATACATCAAACACAAGGTGTCTGTTTTCTTTTCTTTGATCTTACTTTTCTTGTTGCTCGTCGTTGTAAGTTATGTATGTGTGTAGTACGTTATTTTGCTTCAAGAACAAAATAAGGAAAGGAAAAAATTTTATATTTTGATCAAAATGTTCAATTATTCTGTGTTAGAAAAAAGCAGTGCTCACAACGAGTATATGTTTTACTCTACCAACTTCGCGAAGTAAGATGAAAATAATTAGAATATACCCCTCTCCGATTTTATGCGAGTTTAGGTGCTATAACAATTCGTCTTAGTCTCTTGTGTATCCGTCAATTTGTGTCAATTTCCACCAAAATTTCTGAAAGCAGGAGAGATGTACACTCCCTTAAGAGATGTTCACCGCTTAATACGTGTCCAGAGAATAAATAAACAAAAACAGCCCTGAACGATATGTTGTGTTACCATATAAAAACTAAAAACTATTTATAAAGATGTCTTAGCCCAAAAGGAAAACTGTTTCTATTTATGTTCGATACTTCATGACGTAAGAATATGAAATCTGTTCCAGTACATTAACTAAGAGTTATAGTTGTTAAACATAGTTTTAAAAGTTGGTGAGAAAACTTTTGAAGAAATGAAAATACGCGCGAATATCTGTGAATACTTCCGAGTATATGCGAATTTTGGGATACGCGAATCCGCTTTCCCCCCTTGTTAATTAACATGTCATTCAACGTATTGTGAATTTTATAATAAAATGAAAATTCATTAATTTCTGCAAAGTTTTTGCTACGCAATTCTTCTCAGAATTCGATACTCATTTAAATCATGTGTTATTTTAGCAAAAAAAGCGTGATACGTAAATGACTTTTCGATCCTAATCACATTGGACAAATTATACTTGTTTGTTCAAAGTGTTGTTCGTTTTTTTTTCTGTACTTGTAGTTCTAGATTTTCATGTCCAACATGGTTAACAAAAAAAGTTTGGATTGTTGGTGGAACTATACTGGCAATATCTATTATTGCAGCTATTGTTATTCCTCTAGCTATCAAATTCGGTAGAAGTACGTAGTCTTTCTTTAGTTTAAAGTATGTTGCGAATATTTGACGTGTTTTTGACTTTTTCTAGGAACGAACACTGCAATCTACACTGCATCTACACTGCTGTAGTCACAACTACGACAACTGCACCAGTGTATCTTGCTTATTGGGCATTTGATAACAGTGCCGATGACCTATACGGTAACTATTCCGGTGTAACTATGTGTGGTTCATGTACTTGGGGCTCACCGGGATTTTTTGGCAGACTATTCATCTTTTACGTGAATTTTTTTTATCAAAGATGTTGCTACTCTAAATGCGTTTCAGAGAGCTTTAAGCACGTAAATTCAGTTTAACTTAATGCTTAGTCTTAGTGCTACACATAATTGTTGAATATATTATGGTGGCCAGTACTTTGATATTTCGAGTACAAACAGTTATATGTACGTTGCTTCACCCTATTTTAATTTAAATTCGAGAAGTTTTACATTCGAAACGTGGATTTATCCACAAAGTGTAACGAACGACCAACCTATATTTAGTCAATGTACATGTACAAGTTGCACAAATCAATGTCTGTTTTTGATTATTCGAAGTAGTAAATTGTACATGGGTTTTAATTTTAATGATTTAGTTGGTTCAACAGCGCTGGTTGTAAATTCATGGTATCATGTGGCCTTTGTCTACAATTATGAAACATCTCAACAAATTATTTATCTTGATGGTGTTCAATATGCAAGTCAGTCGACATCAACAACTTATCTGGGAACAAATGGAACAATGTATTTTGGTTATACACCACTCTTGCCATTAAGCTTTTTTTCTGGCCACATTGATAATGCACAATTAACCACACGTGCCAAATCAGCCGCAGAAATATTAGTGGATGCCACCCAAGTATTCTATTATTCATTCGATCAACCAAGTCCATATTCCGACAATGGCCCAAATCGTTTAAATGTTACAATACAAGATGTGATATCTTCATTCGGAATTGTAGGACAGGGAGTTCGTTTTACAACTACTAGTTCGAGTTATGTTCAAATCAATAGCTGGCCTTTCTCGGGTTGGCCGACTAATAAACCATTTACATTTGCTATGTGGATATACGCAACATCTGTAAGTGGTGGTGGTCTCATTTTTAATCCACCTAACGGAATTAGTTTACTTGGCTTGACATATAACGGACAAATTGTTGCACAACTCCAGAGTCCTGCAAACGTTTGGCAAGCAGTGATTGGAAGTTTTATACCAGTTAATACTTGGAGGCATGTGGCATGTACATTCAGCGTAACAAATGGTCTAACATTGTACGTTAACGGTGTCTCACAAGGTTCTATAAGCGGTATTCTAACGTATTATTGGACTAGTAGTCTTTACTATATTTACCTTGGATATTGTAATGGCCAAGCGTATATAGTAACGGGAGGTTCATTTCAAGGTACAGTGGATGAATTTTACGCATACAGGCGCGAACTAAGCGTTTCAGAAATATTTACGTTAGCTACTATATAAGTCATCACAGACTGTATGCAGGTACATACAAAAGTCTTAGCGTTTTCTTTTAAGTATTTATTCCGCTTATGCAGTATAATAACTAACATTAGAAATCATTGAAGTTCTGCAATTAAAAAAATTAGAATCATCTGTTTTCTGCGTTATCTAACGAGTCCGAAAGACGGCTCACGTCTTTCTTTTCATTTCTTTTAGAAATATGTGCGGCCTTTATTCCGTTACAGCCCTCGCCTTGTGCAGAACTGGGCAAGTAAAGTCAAAAGTGACTTGAGTTGACTTGACCTCGGAAATGTCTGATGACTCATGACTTGACTTGACCTGACTTGAATATTTTTTTAAAAGATTTGACTTGACTTGACTTGTGCCTTGGCATAAAAACTCAAGTCAACTCATGCATATCTTTAAACCGCTTATGCAATCTAATTTTAAATAATAATTCATAATGATTTGGGAATGTCGATGTTATAATATGTAAGAATTTGCGCAAAGTAACAAGACGCCCATTTTCCAATAGCATAGCAAGTCAGTGTTCTAATATCAAGGAATGGCGACTCTTTTATGCCGTTTTCTACAAAAAAGAAATTTCACGTCATGACTTGTAACTTGCCTTGGAAAACCCCGAGACTTGACTTGAATAGTGAACACTTTTTATTACCCATGACTTGACTTGACTTCAGAAAATTTTTGATGACTTGACTTGTGACTTGAAAAACCCGTGACCTGCACAGCTCTGACCTTGTGCGACTACCAATAACCAGCGAATCCATCTGATTTGTTGCACAAGTACTGCTATTACATATAATTGTAGAAAACTTTAATCATTCTAGACAACTACAGAATATTGTTTAAAATTATCCAAATTAGTTAAATATCACTAATGAG